GGCACGGTGGCACGAACTAATCCGAACTAATCCCAGCATTCAGGGACAGAGGCAAGCAGATCTCTGAGTTCAGGATAGCCAGGGCTACACAGTGAAATGTTGTCTCAGGAGGAGAAAAATAAGATTAAGGAAAATGCAGCTAGTGGGATCCCAGCATGTGTAATCCCAGCACTTTGGAGGGTGAAGCAAAAGGAGAAAGGAAGGAGCAAAGAAGGAAGGAAGAAAGGAGCAAAGGAGGGGAAAGAAAGGAAAGGAGAAAACACACAGGTTACAGAGTTGGCAAAGAGCTTGCTGCACAAGCTTGAGGACTTGAGTTCAGATCCCCCAGCATCCCTAAAAAGTCTAACATTGTGTCATGGACCTGTAATCTCAGCTCTAAAGGGCAGAGACAAGAGGATCTTGGGGGTGTGCTGGCCAGCTAATTTAGCTGCACCACTGAGCTTCAGGTTCAGTGAGACACACTCTCAAAAGAGTGGAGATGCCAGGCATGGTGGTACATGCCTTTAATCCCAGCTCTAGGGCAACAGAGGCAGGCAAATTTCTGTGAGTTTGGGACCAGCCTGATCTACATAGTGAGTTCTAGGTCACCCAGAACCACATACTGAGGCTCTGTCTCAAGAAAAAAAAAGTGAAGAGCAATAAAGAACACCTCTGGCCTCTACATGTACATGCATAGGCAAGTGTACCTACACATAATCACACACACACACAAAATACATACTGTTATGTGGAAAATGCTTGAATTCAACAAGAAAATAAAAGAAAACCAAAACAAAGTAACTTTATCAGGTAACTGTAATTTCTCTATTAAATTAGCAACCACAAATCTAATTTGAAAAGCCAGTGCTGGCAGACAAGGAAACAGTTCACGCCCCTGTGGATACTGCTGGTGACACCACAGTCTGCCTCAAGCTTTCTGAGGAACAATCTGGTTTTGCATATAATAACTATAAAACTTTTCGCAGTCTTGGATCCAATTAGAAAATAATAGAGAAAAGGCTTTTTATTGGCTAGGGAGATGGCAGGACCCAAGTTCAAATTCCCATACTCACAAAAAAAGTCAGGCATGGCTGCAAACACACCTGTAGCCCTAGCACTACTTGAGGTGTGGACTATCCATGGGGCTTTCTGGCTACGAGCCTAGCTCCAGATCCAGTGGAGAAACCCAATGTCCTCCTCTGGCCTCTAGATATCTACATGGACACACACAACAACACATGACCAAACATGTATATGTATATACCAAAAAAAAAAAAAAAGAAGGAAGAGTAAAAAGGATGGAAGGAAGGTACATAGGAAAAAGACAGGAAGGATGAATGAATTTCAGTCTGGCCTGGTAATGTAAGCCTGTTACCCCAGTTACTGAGAAGGCCTGATTTCCATAGTGAGTAAAAAGCAGCTACCTTGGGTAATTTAGTAGAGGGTATTTCAAATTTTTTAAAAAGTAAGAAAAGGGTTGAGGATCTGGCTTAGTGGTAGAGCATTTGACTATTGTGGGTGCTGCCCTACATTCAATTCTCAGTATGAAAAAAGAAGAAAAATAAATTTCTACTGCACACACATACACACAAACTATTAATAAATAGGCATCTCAAGTTCTACAAACAAGAATTAACCTTTTACCACTGTGCACATCGATATGATTCTAGATCACCGAGTAATATAAAATGATGAGCATATGATCTGTTCAAGTGAGTGGTGGTGTACAGTCTGTCCTGGCCTACACAGCAGACTCTTCTGTATTTGAAACCTCACACTTTGCAAAACTTCCCTTCTACAAATGGACTTGAATCCATCTCGGTCCTGCATTTGATGTGTGCTCTTTTATGGGACCGGACGAGTAGTTAAGGATCAAACCCAAAGCCTTTCATGAATGTTGACTGTTGGGCTCCACCACCAAGCTGCGCCCCCAGCTTAAGGTGTATACTTTTTGGTTCTTTGGTTTTGTTTGTTTGTTTGTTTTGTTTTTCAAGGCAGGGTTTCTCTGGGCAGCTTTGGTGCCTGTCCTGGAACTAGCTGTTGTAGATCAGGCTGGCCTCAAACTCACAGAGATCCGCCTGCCTCTGCCTCCTGAGTGCTGGGATTAAAGGTGTGAGCCACCACTACCCAGCGAGGTGAAAATTCTTTATAAGATGAAAAGAGCTGACTGGAAAGCAGGCTCCTGGGTCAGACTGCCTGAGCTCACAGTGCAGTGCTGTCATCTGGTGGGTTAACGGAACGAACCTCCCAACTTTCTAGTTCTAATCTGTGTGTCTAAATGAAATATATTTACTCTACGGCTAAAAATACAACCTACCCCACTAAGTTCTTTAAAGCTGAAATGGGATGATGTCTGCAGAGGCCTTAACGTAAGTGCCTCACATGCAGGCTGCTCTCCACAGACATTAGCACTTCGTACTCTGCAATCGCTGTGTTCCAGAGTCACCGCTCACTACATTCTGAAGTAGTGCAGAGGTCAGCCAGGTGTAATGGTGTAAGGCTGGTTGGTGCCTCATGCTTCAAAATAAGACAATACCAACCATTACTTTCACTAGTGTGGAGTCAACTGCTTCCTGAAAATAGCAGATGCTATTTAAAATTTGCGATTTTGGGGAACTGGAAAGGTGGACAGTAGTTAAGAGCACTGGCTGCTTTTCCAGAAGACTCAGATTCAGTTCCCAGCGCTCACAAGGCAGTTTGTAACTGTCTGTAACTCCAGTTCCAGGAAATCTGGAGCCCTCACACAGACATACATACATGCATGCAAAACACAAATGCACATAAAATAAAATAAATAAATTTTTATTTTTTAAAATTGCCATTTTGTGTAATCACTGTAAGAACCTTACAAGGGAAGAGCAATTATTAAGAAATAAAAACATAAATGAGCTCAAAGAGATCTATGTACATCAGGTGTAGAAGAAAGTGCCCAGGGCTGGAGAGATGGCTCAGTGGTTAAGAGCACTGGCTGAGTTCAATTCCCAGGAACCACATGGTGGCTCACAACCATCTGTAATGAGATCTGGTGCCCTCTTCTGGCATGTGGGCATACATGGAAGCAGAATGTTGTATACAAAATAAATAAATGAAATCAAAAAAAAAAAAAAAAAAGGAAAAGAAAGAAAGTGCCCAGTGTTTGGTGGATCCCAACTACAAATATTCTAAGTGAACTGTCCCTATACCCTACACACTTGCAACGACAGACACATCTAAAACTTAGTGGCCATAAAGACTCCTTTGTTTTTTAAGTGGCAGCAGGAAGACCAACTCCCAGCAATACTTTTAAAGTCTGCTTTGTTTTGTTGTGGCACCAGGGATTGAAACAGGGCCTCATGTGTACGAGGCAAACATCCAACCACTGAACTAATCTCTGTAGCCATTCATTTCCCATGTGATTCCTCCCCAGCCCCCTGAAGGAACCAGACCATGTACCAAGTGTCACTTAGGCACTGGCACCAGCAATTGCTTACCTGGAGGAGATAGAGAAGTCCTGGGGCAAACAAGGTGACTGGGTACAGAGACTGATATGTTGCTAAAGCGAGAAAAATAGCACTGAGGAAAACACTGCCTGTGAAAAGAAACAAAGGTGTAGAATAACCCAGCCTTATCAATCAAGATCTCACACAACACCAAACTCCTAACTGCCCAATTACCTGCCAAGTGCTCCTCATATGCAAGGTACTGTGCAAACCCAAACAATAAATACTTGGCTTTGAACCCATGAAAGGAAACCACGGAAGTCAAAATCAACCTGCATTGTCACAGACATGTTTCTTAAGAATTTTTCATATCCAGACTGATTTTTATAAAACCTTAACCCAAAGATTTAGAAAGAGATAACATCTATTAACATCCAAGTCTGAGGCACCAAGTTCTTTAACCTGAAACTACTATTCATGATATTCAGAGTTGTGAAACCCAGCCCTCTGGATATCACAACAGCTCATCACTCTGAAATACCTCTAATCTTGACTGTTTCTTCTTTTCCAAATAAAAACATATTATTGATGCTTTATTTTTAGGTCTCACTTTGTAGCCTAAGCTGACATCAACCTTGTAGCAATCCTTTTGCCTAAGTCCTCCAAGTGCTGGGGTAACAAACATAAACCATCAAATCCAGCTAAGAGTACACTCCTTTTATTAATGAGGCTACTCCCTACAGAAACAGACCACTAGGGAGTCATTAAGCATGTAATGAAAGAATCTGTGATGATGTGAAAAGGTACAATACCTTGTTAAGTGACATTTTAAGCGATACGGCTTATACCATCAGACTCAGCTTGTCTGTTTTCTTTAAAAACTTTAAAAATGAACATAGCCAGGCAGGTGGATCTTTGAGTTCAAGGACAGCCTGATCTACAAAGAGAAACTCTATGACCAAAAAAATGGGGGAAAAAAACCAATGACAACAGCTATTCCCTTTCAGATGTTTTAAGACAACTAGGTATCTTTATATCAAGGTGAGAGGTTTCCATACAGGCTTCAAAGTGACCTAGAAATCAGCTGAATATAATGGTTCAAAGCACGTGTCTCATATGATTATGGTTTATAAAACAATAAAACTCATGGTCATTCTCCTGAGTGTAGAATCAACTCTTTACTAAAAATAACAGAAATCTTCTCGTTTGTGTTTCACAAGAAGAGAAACCCCTCATTCTTCTCAAACCGAGGAAGTTCACACCTTTCTCAAGCTCCAGGGACACATAGCTGATCAAAGCACTCGCTCCTCTGTTTACTTGATTGCAATCTCACCATCTCCCCAAGTCAATCTCACCATCTCCCCAAGTCAATCTCACCATCTCCCCAAGTCAATTTCACCACCCCCCAAGTCAAATCTCACCATCCCCAAGTCAATCTCACCATCCCCCCCAAGTCAATCTCACCATCCCCTCAAGCAGTCTATATACTTGAAACATACAGGAACTGCCTTGGGGAAGAGAAAAGGCTAGGGACATAAGTGTGTGATAGACTTAGAAGGGGATGGGGAGTGGTGGGAGGGGAGGTAAATGGGAGGTGGTGAGGAGGCAGAAATTTTTAATAAAAAATAAAAAGAAAAAAAGAATTCGAAGGGGATTATGACAGGCATGGAAAATAGTTTAAAGAAGGTGGGAAATGTAGTAACAAAATGCATGCTTTAAAAAGCATAGGGGAGTACTAAGTGGGGAACAAGGGGAACAAGCTGGAGGAGAGAAACGTCATGATGAAATCCTTATGTTATATGTTACTCTTAAAAATAGGTTCTTTTTTTAAAAGATAAGAAAGTAGAAAAAAAAGAACTCCAAACAATCCATTCTTCAAACCAAGACACTACAGACTAAGAACCATCGTGGTGGACAGTGCAGTAAGTAGAATGGCAGAGAAAGGGGGAGTTGGACATAAAGGACAAAGAGCAGAATTCCAGGAACAAGGCTGTCCCACTGCAGCAGTGAGTGACGGACAAAATCTGAAATTCAGGTACTTGCTACAAAAGACAGGGACAGGCCTAGCCAAGTCCTGACACCAGGGGAGGCCTCCTCCTTCCTACTGAGCTGTACAGATCTGGAACTGGAACCAGGTCACCCTAAGAAAGGGAGGTGGCACCGTGGGAAAGGTGCTTTGCTTAGCTCAAAGCAAAAGTAGGCTTGGGATTCCTTGAATAATAATTTGTGGGAGATTGGCTAAGGGTGTGGAAATGCTAGAGAGAATTCCTTATTTCACCTGCTTTTCTCCATACCTGGTCGCTGGAGAAAGGAAAGGCCATGAAGGGCCTGTGAGAGCAGGGAGGCTACAGCTCCAACTCATTCATTCAGACGGAGGAGGTGAAAACACATGACCTTCTCCTCCCTCTCTGCCCCAGGAGACACCACGGAGTGGAAGAAACAGTTACCTCCTGCCCTAATTGCCTACGATCAATAAATACTTATCTGGAACAGCTGTCTATAAGACCCAGCGAGGAAAAAGGCTAAAAGGCTAGCAGAGGGGTAGAGAGAGCTGAGAAATGTCTTAGAAAATGTGCGCTGCAGATAAGGAGAAAGCATTCTGCCTTCCTTTTTATTATGAATGAATTAATTTAGAGACATGGTCTCTCTACACAGCCCTGGCTGTCCTAGAATTCACTATGTAGACCAGCTTGTCCTTGAACTCACAGATATCCCCACCCTCCCCCACCCCGACTCCTGGGTGCTAGGATTAAAGGCATCTGCCACCACACCCAGCCCTTGGATGATATCTTAAATATCGTTTTTTTTTATTAGTATTAGGGATTATAAACCAGGACCTTGCTAGGCAAGTGCTCTACCACTGAGCTACATTCCCAGTGCCTAGATGGAAATCTTAAGAAGGGAGAATCTGTCCCACCAAGCTGTCTATTAGTAAGTGGCATCAAGTCCAGCTGGGTACCTCAGCCCCACATTCCCTCTTACTCCAGTGCGCAAGCCCAGATTCACCTCTGAAGTAAGTTAGCTCTTGTTCTCAACTAACACCAGTGTTCTCCGACTCTTTCTTCTTGGCTCCTCCTTCTAAAACAGTGATTTATCTACAAAGACCCAGTCAGGTATGGCAGTACACAACTATAACATTGAAGGATGTCAGGAGCTCAAGGACACCTTTGGCTTAGATGAAACCAGCGTGGGCTACATGAGATCCTGTCTCAAAAACAAAAACAAAAAACAAAACAAACAGAAGAAACAGTCTTTTCCCATTGCTGCTATGTCATGTGGTAGCAGGGGCTCAAGTGCAATTCGAGATTGGACTCCACCCATAACTCATGGGGCTGTAATGGGCATCCATACTGCTTTACAACAGGAAGCACTGAAAACCACTCTCAACCACAATGCCTACCATGTGGAATTCTCAGAGCTGCCAAAGCCTTAGACAAGTGCCAAGCCTACCTTTGTGTGCTTGCTTCCAGTTGCATATGTCAAGTTGGTGGAGACTCTTTGTCCCGAGCACCAAAACACACAAATTTGATGACAGCAAGAGACTAGGGGAATGGGTGGGCCTCTGCAAAGTTAATCAAGAGGGGAACCCCATAAGGAGGTTGGCTGCAGTTGTGTAGTGGTTAAGGACTATGGCAAAGAATCTCTAGCCAATAACATCATTGAAGAGTTTCTCAAATGCAGGAAATGAACAAATAAACCTGGCTCATTAAAAACAACACAAAACCAAACAGACTTCTGAACGTCACATCTTATCAGTCAGATTAAGTTCAAACTCCAAGAGCAAACAAGATCCTCAGTATCTTCGTTTTGTCTCTTCGGCTTTCCCGTTCACCCTTGCCTACACATCCCGCCTTCCGCCACAACACGCGCCACTCAGGCTCTTCCTTCTGACTGAGCTTGTCCTGTCACCTTCAGCAGCATGTGTAACACGAGCAGAGGTGACAAAAGAAGCCACAGCTAACACTGATTGCTCAGTTACTAGGTTACATGCATGTGTAGTGTCTACCTCAAGAATGTGCCAGACTCAAAGAGGCCCTGAGGAAACATCACAACAGACTTGGGAAAGAAGTACCTTTAGCTCATTTTCCTGTAACACACTAAATGTCATAAAATCACATATTTTATTCATTCCACCAGTAAAGAAACCAAGGCACAGAAGCAAGTTTAAGAAACTTGAGTTGCCCAACTGCCCCAGTCCATACTTTTAACTCTTGCTAAGCAGCCTGGTCTGCTGTCTTCTAGCAATGCTGGTTTGCCCTTTCTTCCCTATCTGTTTTAGGAATTTCTCAAGGGCAATAAATGTTTCTTAATTTTGAATCTCTTCCACCTTTTACAGCACACGTGATGAACGCATAACTGAATAAATGAACATCATTCAACAGTACACAGGAAATCCTTTTAAAAAGTACTTAGCTGGGTGTGATGGCACGCCTTTAATCCCAGCACTCAGGAGCAGAAGCAGGCAGATCTCTGAGTTCAAGGACAGCCTAGTCTAAAGTGTGAGTTCCTAGACAGCCAGGGCTACACAGAGAAACCCTGGTTCAGGGGGTGAAAAAAAAAAAGACAGACAGACAGAAAGAAAAACAAACACATCAAAGGGGGAAAAAAGGAAAAAAAGACAGACATAAAGAAAAACAAGGGAACTGGAGAGATGGCTCAGTGGTTAAGAGCATTGCCTGCTCTTCCAAAGGTCTTGAGTTCAATTCCCAGCAACCACATGGTGGCTCACAACCATCTGGTCTGGCGCCCTCTTTTGGCCTTCAGGCATATACACAGACAGCATATTGTATACATAATAAATAAATATTAAAAAAAAAAAAAAGAAAAACAAGCACGTCAAAGGAAAAAGACAGTCAGAAAGAAAGAAAAACAAGCACGTCTTGAGGAAGACCTCCCAGAGCATTAGAGAGGGTAATGTGGCCGGAGGGAGTCATAACACAAACCTACATTAGAATGGATCAGATCACCCAGAGGAGCAGTTGAGGCTCACAATGCCAGGGGCATGGCAATGGCTGACACCTGAATTCTGGGGTAGAAACACGGTGCTACCCTAGCCAGTGGCCTGGGGACAGGCATGGATGGGCACACACACAACCTAAGCAGAAGTAAGAGAACATATGGAGGTACAGAAAGACTTAGGAGGAACTGC